GCACTGGATCCTGTGTAGGTAGACAGGTTTGCTCCACCATGTGGGTGCAGGGAATCAAACCTGGGTCCTCTGGAAGTGCAACTGTGCTCTTAACCACTGAGCCGTCTCTCCCATCACTTCCTCTGTAACAGTGAAGCGACATTAGCCACTGTGCAATATCTTTATAACGGATTGACCTTTGGGGGGAACCCTTACAACACGGAGATGGCCAAAGCCATAGCAGGAAAAAGTGGCTAATAAGGTGTGGACCTGCTATCTCACTTTTGGAAAGGAAGACTTCAAGTTCAAGGGTAGCCTGGGCTACACCATAAGATCCCACCAGGAGATCGACAAGAAAAGGGAAGGGGCAACAGGAAAGAAAAGTCACTAAGTAACTGCAATACTCAATTATGATCTTCAAATCTCTACAGAATCTAGATTCACCCAGGAGACAAACCTCTAGGCTGGTGGTCCTCAAATTCTGTAATGCTGTGACTCTTTAATACAGTTGTTGTGTTGTGGTGACTACCGACCTAAAATTATTTTGTTGCAAATTCATAACTGTAATTGCGTTACTGTTACGAACTGTAGTGAAAATATATGATATGTCGGATATCTGCAGTGTGAATTTCCAAAGGGTTCGCAACCCACAGGTTGAGAACCGCTGTGCCAGGAGTATCTGTAATGGCATCTCTAGAGTGAGTTAACTGAGGTGGGAAGACACACCCTAAATGTGAGTGGCATCATCCACTAGCTTGGGTCCTGGGCTGAATGAAAGGGAGAACATACTTGGGCATCCACATCCATTTCTGTTTCTTGTCTGGAAATAATATGACTGGAGATTCATGCTCCTCGAGCCACATCTTCCTCACCAGGATGGGCTGTGTCCTCAAACTGTGAGCCAAAATAAACCTTTCCCTCACTTAAACTATGCTTACCAGGTAACTGCGGTGATGACTCTAGTGAATCTTAGAGTCGGGACAAGGGGTGTGTGGTCTCAGAAGGACACGGAACGGGCAGCCTGGAAGGGATCAGAGCCATCAATCAGCCTGTTGGGGGTTTCTGCCTCGGAGAGAGGATGTTTTGTTTAAGGATGCTTTTATAAGAAATGTACCAGAGTGAAACGTGGGAAAACTGCCTTATTGCTTTATTGCTGCCTTTCTAGGCTCTAGTGAGCTGAGTCCGTGCCATTTCCAACTGGACTCCACGTCTCAAAAAGTGTGACAAATCCATTGCCCTCTACCAAAACAAGTCAGGGGAGTTTTGAGGAATTGGAACTCTTGCATGTTGGGTCATGAATGACTGTCGAATTTGAATGTAGAGAATACGAACTAATTGGCACCCACCCACTGGTGTGTACTACAGAAATTCTACCTGCTTTATGGCCTGTTCTTGGAACAGAGCTCTTTTAAGAATATGTAATCTTTTCTGGAGTGCCAAAATCTAAGTTGCTGCTGGAGCACTGAGTAAGTACTGGGTAATAATATAAAATAAGTGGACCATAAAATGGCACAGGCAAGAATTTTCAATAAGTAAATAAATGGGGGGAAATTTGGGAAGGCTGAACCTTCCCCTTGTGTGTGCTGCCCCTGCATAGGATTTTGGTAAACTGCAGAAGACAATATACATTTTATACTCTGGTGAAAAAGTTTTTAAACTGAAAGGCATCCTGGTAGAACAAACTTAAACCTATTATGAACCATGTACCATTTAATGGTTATAATGTACTGTAATGATTACCACATTGTGGGATTCAATATTGCATTATGTCCTTCTAATTTCATGCTTACTGTTTTAAAAGATGGGGTGTCACTGCATTGCTCAGGCTGGCCCCAACCTTTTGGATATATACCATTCTCCTTTCTCAGCCTCAGAAGTATCTGGGCCTGCAGGTCTGGTCTACCATACCCAACTACAGTCATGCAATCCATGAGGATGAAGGAGTTTCTACACTCAGCTATAGCCATGTGATAGGAGAGGATGCTAGAGCACAAAAAGTTTATTTAAGTGGCTTAGGGCTACATAGCAGGTAGATGGTGGCCCCATGATTTAGACTGAGGCAATCTAGCTCAACAACAGCCATGCTAGCTGCAATAATATACAAGGGCACTCCAAGCAAGGAAAGACTTCTTTAGTGAAGGGCCAGCTTATTGCTGTCATTCTGACAGATGTGAATAAGACTAAGGACCAAAGCATAAATAAGTCTTTGAAAAGTTTTCACTCTCACACATTTTAACTTCCCTGAAAGAGACACACAGGCACAGGCTTGGGGAAACCATTTTATTTAAGCAACGCTTACATAATGCATCCTATGTGGCAGCCCGTGAGTGGTCTTAGCAATTTGTCAGATGCCTTTAACCCTGTGAGGGTAGGCCTATCATTACCCCCATTTCCCCCGAAAATGTACTTAGAATCTTTACTGGCTGAGCCATTGAGCAATCGCTGAAGTACTCTGAGCTTCCATTTTTCATTTGTAAAACTTAGATACTAGTACTTCATACAGATATATATTTTAGCTATGGACTAAATGTTTTATGTCTAACATGTTAGATACTTGTAGAAAATGCTCATTAATAGCAAAATTGGAAATTCTGTTGCCCGTAGCAATTTAACTTTAGGATATACTCTCACTAAAGATTATGTATTATATCAAACAGCAATATGCATACATACATTAATGTATTTATAGTGAGCATCACAGTATCTAAAATATATATAATTTCTAACTAAGAATTAAAATGAGTTCACCTCATTCATTCATTTATTCATTCAAATACTGAAGTTCTAGAGTTGAAAAACCCTGATTGGAAAAACAAAGATTGGATCAAAATTTTTAATAGCATCGGGTTCCATGTATTGCATCTGGAAAATACAGTTGAGACTAGTGATTGTACATTTAAACTGCCCTGTGTGGTTCTAGTCACAGGGTTTTCTCTATCCACAGCAAATCTCTCACTGAGAATCTGCAAATGTTGACTCTGATCAGCCGGGTCAGTGTTGGAGGAGCTCTTGAGAGATCTCCAAATGAACATTACCATGTCTAGGATTTTAACTCTGAAAACATTTCTCTCTCACACATTTCAGCCACTCCAAAAGAGTCACCCAGGATCAGGCTTGTGAAGCCCACAGTACCTGTTTCTTCTGGCTGTTAGTGTGCTTATCCGAAGCTGCCCTTACTTGTAAACATATCTCCAAGCATAGAAAACCACCTGAGCTCTGTTGCTTGCTCACTTGATCTTAAAATGAATTTTCTAGGTGGCGCGTGGAGTTTGTGGAGCACCTGGGGTCCTCTGTGATGCTGTGGACCTATGCACAGGAGCTGACTTTTTAGGAAAGAGTTTTAGGTTTTTTTTTTTTTTTTTTTTTTTTTTTGTTTTTTTGCCAGAAAGTATGATGACGTATGAAGACACAGCCTTAGACGCAAAGTCTTTTCCAAAGAGATCCTTGGTGTGTGTTTTAAATAATTAAAATGGAGACTTATAAGGAGCTGTGCATCTTGAGATCCATATTTACTTGAGGATGATACGATAACGGCGTACCAGCACCCTCCCCAATCCCTCTGTCCTCACTGCTATCCTAGTAAAGTCCTTCCAAATTCTCATGCAATCACTCACTTGATCTATACTGCGTAAGAGAGTGACCACCAGGTATATGTGGACTATGTCAAGATTATAAAATAAAAACCAATCAATCAATCAATCAATAAACATGCTCCTGTAACTCCAGACACAGGGGATCTGATGCCCTCTTCTGGCCTCCTCGGGCATTTCACACACATGACACAGACATTTATGCAGGAAAACATGTACTACATACATAAAAAATTTTAGAAGATGACGATGTTGGCACACTGTTTTTTCAGATTCACATATTTGCATGCATTTTTAAGTATTCAACTTCAATGTTTAGGAGGAATATAATCTAGACAGTCTGGTGATGGTAGTGCTTCTGAGTTCTGACAATACTACAAATGAGTTTTCCCCTCTTGGCCACCCAGACAAAGGCTGAATTTGGTTCTCTGTGCTGTGTGGTGTTAGGTTTTGTCTCCCAGAAATGTCACGTTGGGGTTTCTTTTGACTATGCTTTCAACCTTCCCAATCTTCTTATACTCATCTTTACTAGAAAACCTCCCATGGAGCCACAACACAGAGACATCTGCACACATCAAGGGGAATGGTGTTATGGAACATGTTTCCCGAAACAAGTTTATCTGTTTATTCCTTGTGAACCTGTGGTAGTGCTGTTTAGTGACAGGAAGTGACAATGGTTGGTCTGTTAACTGGTCAAACAACGAAGGCCAAGGAGCATGAATATGTTCCTACTTCTTGGAGTGTAGACCAAAAGTATGCTTGTAGATGACATAAAAACCAGAATGAATATCATTTTTTTGATAAGCCAGTGCTTATCAAAATACATATGCCCCGATTTTGTCAGGGGGACCTGAGTGGGATCTTGCTAATTTTCTAGGTTTTCTAGATTTTCATTAGTAGATACTTCAAAGTAACACAATGTTCCACTGACTGAGACATCTCAATAGAGATAATTTCAATCAACTGAATTCTACTTCCAAAACAGAAACAAAACAACCATTCCTTGCTCCTCTCCAAAGTAAACGTGTAGAATTTCAGAAAGCAAATAACAAAATTGAGGCTGACATCAGGCAATGCTCAGAGGATGCAGGGATCTTACTTGTTGCTAGGAACCTGACAGAAGCCCAGAAGCAATACTATTTATAGTGACCTTTTATCTGAATTCTGGCAAGCCATTTTTCCTAACAGCATCATCAACAGTATTTAGTACTTTGACAAATATGAGTGATTACACAAGTAATTCACTGATTTAAATGTAAAATAAAAAACGACTTTAGAAATTTGCAAAATCTACAGAGATCACTGATGTAACTAAAAATCTGTCCCTGGTTTTTGAAGGCCACCAACACAATTTAAAGATCCTTGCATGGAACTGTCCCTTCATTTCCTACGAGTTTCAAGCCAAGCACAATTAGATAAGCTCATTCTTACCACAGAGATGGGATTGGAGAGCAGTGTGCCATCCTGGCCCAGCATGTTGGACACGGTGATCTCTGGCAGGTCCATGTTTTGTGGATGGAACGGGAGCAAGCCATTGTGGTTCATAGGGTGACACAGAGAGTGGTACCCAGATTCAACCTCGTTCAGGTGCACCAGAGAGTGTTCAGGGAGAGAAGGAGGTGTGATGGGTGGAATGTTAAAGTCTTCACTTTCCAGACTTGGGCCAGGGTAGGACTGAAAGATAAGAGTGACACAGATGGTAATTAGCATCCACTTGTTCACTGTTATCGATCACAGAAGCACAGTGACCTTATAGATGTACCTACCAGAAGCATTACAGATTTTCCTAAGGTATTCAAACATTGGGACCACCCTGGTGCTTGTCCCTCATATATGGAGAACAAGATGCTTGTGAGACATCCCTCACCAGAGAGCCATCCCCTGCCTGTGAGACATCCTCCTTTGGTCTAAAACCTGCATCTGTTATGTGGCTTTACTCTCCTAGGAAGGTGAACTCAAACAGATTTCAATGATTTCATTAAAATTTTCTGGAGTGTTAATCTAGCTGAATACACTTTTTCATGAGAATTGTGGGGAAAGAAGGCAATTCATAAAATGGTTTGATCAAACATGTTTCATTAGACTCCCTACTGCTAAGATTATGGGATGTAGTAAAAATTCCAGAAGTCTGGGGCAGTTGCTTTCCAGTTTGAAAAACCTAATTGTTGATAATTAAAAAAAATGTTATTAGTTAAAAAGTAAGTTAAGCCTGTGCCTAAGGGTGTGTTCACTAAAAGTTAGGTACAGTTTTAAAATGCTATTAGATGGTAATTTTACCATCAAAATAAAAGTGATGATTGCTCTCACGAATTCTGTGCACATTTATTTTATTTATCCTTAAGGCTAATAATATTGCAACCACTTAAATTCAGTCCCTTCCATGGTGAACACAAACAATATTAATATTATATAATACTAATTGCGAAATGAAAGTTAATCAGTAAGGTCAGTAGCACATCGGAGTCTGAGTCTGTTCTTTTATAAAGTGGCTTGAAAACAGGTAGAGATACAAGAGGAAAAGCAAGAGTGTATGAACACAAGCCTGTTTAAGGTGAGAATGTGGCAAAAGTAGAAAATGGTAGAAAGAGCTGAATAAACACTGTTAGCAATTAACATCAATATACAGGGTCAGTAAGAACTTATTTTGCCCAACAGGTGTCATAATACAAAAAGAAACATTTTGGCCCAGATAATTCTTACAAGTCAATCTTTCAAATTCCAGTGGCCTTCAATGTTTGTGTGCCTGGGTAACAAAGGTTCTCCTGTCTAAATGTACAGTGCCTGCTACAGTGTGTAAGGTTTGAAATGAGCAGGCAAAGTGGAGGATCCAAAGAAAGTAGTGTTCTGTGTTCACTGGGTGTTCAGCCAATAAGCTTTCTCCTCCCTGTCCAAATGCCCGGGGTTATTTTTTCCAGATGGCGTCTATTTGTCTAACAGAAAGAAATCTTCAACTTGCACTTGCTAAATGTTGGACAAGTTCTGATATATTTGTGTAGGTGCCATCAGAAGGCACAATTAAATGGAGAGTTACTTGGAACATCTGGAGTCTGGCAGTGGCCATGGAGAAGAACTTGTAGGTACCATCTGAAGGCCATGAAAGGAAGATTTGCATTCTCTTCACATGTATTTCTTAAATATACAGCATTCTGCTTTTAAAAAAAGGGGTTTAGTGTTTCATTAGTAGTGCAATTTTTTTTTGTCTGAAAAACATGTTAGTGCTCTGTATCAAAATTATGAGTTTGACTACCCTGAACATATAGACCCCAGCTCACAGTTCCTCGAAGAAATATTTAATATAAGATACAAAAAGGCCCCATGAAGAAGGGAAAAGAATGTGTGTTTAGCCAGGACTATTTCATATAAAGTATGGCAAAGGCCTTTTTCACCATCTTGCCTTTTGCAAGCCTTCCTCCTTTTCCTGATGCGGAAACTGGAGTTCAGAAGTTCCTTAGTGATTGACTGAGTCCATGTGTGGGGGATAAAGAGAAATGGAGAGAAGCCATTTTTATCCCTTCCTGCCCTCCTCTTTCTGTCTTTGTTGTGATCCAACCCAGGCCTTTGCAGATGAGAGACTAGTGTACCTGAGCACCATGGCTAATCGTTACCATTATATCAGGCTGAGTGTCATAAAATACCTTTGTTACACAAAATTTCATAGTTTAAGAGTTATGACTATCAATAGCATGTTTCTCCTTGTCCTAAATCCTATCCTCTAAGATTAAATATTTACTTGACATAAGCACAAGAATTCACAATCTGTCTCTCTGTCAGCACTGTAGAACTTGAGTTTTTGGTACACAGTGTTTAAGACGTTAATCGATGCCTATTTAAAACTTTCCTCAATAAGGCATTACTAAAACAGAGGTAAAGAAAAAGCTGGTTTTAATTTCAGAAGTGTCATTAACCCTCTGAAAATAGTTGGGGATATTTCACCCAGGGTATGTACAGTGCCTTTACATTCTAGAGTTTCTTCGGTAGTTAAATCTTAATTTGTGGAGTTTTAAAGGAAGGTTTAATTGGTATCGACTTACACTTGGTGATAACAATTGCACTGCAATTTAGCTTAGCTACATGGTTTATTTTCATGTAATTACACATTAAGGTTATTTAATCCGTACAATTATATGCCAAAACCACAGACTCTGCAACTTAACTGGTAATGCATAGTTATGTGGGTCAAGAATTTTAACAACATAAGGTTACTTAGCAGCTCTGTCCATTACATTAGAATCCATGATGTGGTTATCTGCCATGAACCTATTAGAGAGTAATTGATGCCCTATAAAAGTACCATTGTAATTGTTTAAATGTGAAAATGTGCCAGAACTTTTAAAAAGTGCAATGGCAGACTAATATTTTTTAAATGTGGAAATGAATTAATCTCCAACACTGGCTTCTATGACATAGCAGGTATACTCTGATTCCAGATCTTATTTGTGATGTTTTTAATAAGTGAGGTTTATAATATATCCAGTTTGCAATATTGAATCACAACAGGGTGTGGTTCAATACTTATTCTCACTCCACATGAAAGTATTTGTTTGAATCATCATTAAATATTTGTTGAATGAATAAAAAGAGGGACCACTAAATGCATGTATTAATGAGTGAATAAATGAACGCTACACTGGGTCTTTAAAACCAGAAAGCTTGTGATATATTGCAATTATTTCACAGGCTTAAATAATTATCTTTTATTCCTAAGACTTCCTTGGCAAGGTCACAGCACAGAGGGCAATGGTCATCACACACAGTTGTCAAACAGCCAAAGTGTCCCATGAGAAGAGTGGTGGGTGTTACAGACCAAGGAGGGCTGGATAGAAGGGTCTGTCTGCATTGTCCTGGGAGGGCACTGTCCTGTGTCTGAGTGTCCTGCGATCTGGCCTGGCTTCCTTACCATTCCAGAGTTACACAAATGATCCAAAATGCAGAGTTTATAATCTCTGGCATTCAAAGCTGTTGGAACCTAACTCCCTATGTCTCATGCTGGCACCTGGGATGAAGCTAGGGAGCCTGAGGTCAGGTCATGGCAAGTCTGATGCCCCATCCTCTGGGATTGTCTGCTTAAAGAAGTAAGGACTCTGATCATAGCAACAGAACATTCCAGAAGGACCAGCCTGAGAAAGCTAAGGTAAGGCCATCCTGTTGACACAGGACCAGATATAGTACTTGCTCACTCATATGGTCCCTTTCTGCTTCTCGTGTATTTTTCTTCTCCCAGAGTAGCCTTAATTTTAAGCAGTCAGCCATTTGGAAACCCTCCCAGGAACAATGATCATGTCATCCCTTTCTGAGGTCTCCATATTCCTTTAAGGCAACAGTACCACTTTTTCATTTTAGCTTGAAATAAAGGTTACCTAAGAGTTCATCCCATGCTCTAGGAGGCTTTCTTAGGCTGGAGCCTGGTACAGAATGAAGAACAAGTTAGGCATGGAGTTTTAAAGTGGTACTGACTTCTTAGTCACCATCTATGGTCTCATATCAGAGGCTAGAGTCTAAACCATTTGACTTCCTTGTTCCTAGCAAATGTGGAAGTCACTGGTGACCATCACTATGAAGAGAAGTATTCAGGGTCAGGGGGAAAAGTGCATTTCTATACTTTACATTGTACTGATGAAATTTAACTTATTAAAAGGTAAGTTGACAACAGGCATGCAAATAAGCTAATCTAAAGCACTGCAATTAATGTAAATACATCTGCGATGATCCAGTGATGCTAACTCCCCTGATTGCAGGCTCTTCAATGTGTTTAGACACAAGTTGCTCTCATGGCAGTTGCGGTGCTGGGCCTCACTCACTGTGTCCTGCAGAACCCAAGAACCAGTGAGTGTGGAGTGGGGCAAGGCTCAGTCAATTCTGAAAGCCAGATGGACGACTCAAGCTGCAAGGGGACTGTGTGAAACATTAACACAGCAATTTTAAAATGTTATCCTCCTCAAGAGAGCATGTTTGTAGCTGTGAGTAACAGAATCCATGGCTATTGCAACTCATTTTCTTAAAAACCCGAGAAGGTGGTATTTGTGCCTTTCACTTAGAAAGTGCTGCCTAGTACTCTGATGGAAAGTAGGTGTGTTGCATGTGGTAGTGATTCCTTCAGTACCCAACGAGAGTGGTCACAGCATGTTGGAAAAGACTGGCAGCTATTGGAGTCCAGAAGATAAGTCTGCATCTAGGGTCCTTGGAGCACTTAGGAGTTTGGTTTCTGAAGCAACTTTTCTATTCCTCTTGAGCCTATTTTAAAACTCAATTCATAGAGATTTTAAGAGCATTTAAAGTATACATTGAATAGTTCAATAATCTATGTTCTCCACTATAAAATGTGCCTGAAAAGGGGGCTGTCGTTAAGTGGATTTATAAATGCCTTAGACGGGGTCATGTCTAATAGCAAACAGTTCAAGACAGTATGTTGGGGAATGTATTGTATATGCATTTCCATCTATTTGCCATTGGTAAGATCTGATAATGGAGAAAAGTATGCTTCATTTATATATAATGTACTTAAACAAATATTTAAGCAAACAAAATCAAGTTTCACACTTAGTCTAATGGAATTAGACTGAATGTCTTTCTTGTCGTGTATGTATGCTTGTGTGTGTGTGTGCGCGCGTGTGTGTGTGTGTGTGTGTGTGTATCCATGCTGGTAGTATATATGTATCTATGGTGTAGGCATGTGT